ATATATACAAACATGAATGTTTACTTACCACACTGGTTGTTGTCATGAACAGGCGAGCAGGGTTTGCGCAGTGGAGAAAAGTAGAGGCGTCTCTTGGAGAGCTCCCTACGTTGATGGCAGCAGCTTGGTTGACTTGCCTGCATAATAGTAAAAATCAATCTACTCTTTCAGGACACATAAAGTATCGTATATTTTGACTCTTTGCTCGTCGTATGTCGGCTCAGAATGGCTCCCCCTCTAGATGAAGAGAAGCTCATGAGCTTGATGTGTAACTTTTTCACAAAAGGTCACAAATAATGCGCGAAGAGAGTTGTACATGAATGTCATGTTAAAGATGACAAAATGCAATCATTCATTTGTTCATTAACTTCTGTGATGACTTGATGAGTCGGGCCCAACTGTCCCTGTCGAGCATAGTGTTGGAAAGAGATGGACCGCTCAGACCAGTTTTTAACTCAATGGACGTTTTCAGCGTCATGTTGGGACGACCTCTATGAAAAGGGGCATCAGGATTCCAGAGAACATCACGACTATCTGCATCATGCACTTCTTAAATGCATAATATATACATTTGAAGCAAGATATTTGACATTCATTTTGATAGATATTTGTTATTCATTTTGTTACCAGAATCTCAGGAATTCATTAGAGATATATAGGGGGATGTGTTAGGTAACAATAGTCTCGGGTGTGTACAGGGAATAGGGACACTTGGGGGGTACCCCTCCATCACAAATTGAACATGGTGTAGAAATGTATCCTTAAAACACACATGTACCAAAGGACTTACAATAATGATTATCTTCTAGTAATATCTTCTAGGTATTACTGTACCTGATGAAATTTGTGTCTGCAGTCCAAGATGGCTGACATAGGACAGACGTTTCTTTTCTAGCTGGTTCTTCTCAGTCTTGGTGTTTAGCCAGAAATCATCAGAGTGCTATCCTTGGTAATTCTAAAAAACAAAAAGAAATCTAATTGAATTTACAGCGTAACTATACTTTTATAAGTTTTACGTGACCTTGATTTCTGTAGGAATCTTATAACAGATAAAAGTATGGAAAGTTAAGCAGGCACGAACTAGAGTCTGTCTCAAAAGACAGGAATTTAAAGGGTAAATACAACATCTGCAAACATCAAAAAATAAAATTACCAAATTATTTTAAAATACCTTGCTGGACTTTTAGTGAACGACAGTGTAAAGCATCCTGTAAAATCATGGCACTTGGTATACTGTCGTTTACAAGAAAAGTGGTATTTCTGTATCAATTTCCAATGCTGGTCGCCCCAATTGACAATATTTAGTAAGTCTGCATTTGTTGGCAATTGATTACACACCTATTAGCGGGTGCAAGCCAGCAAGGCTGGTTCCCTTACCTTACAATTCCCAAACATCTATATTGCTCCGTTTCATCTTAAATGGAATCAGGGAACCAGACTACAGGAAAGTGATTTTTTTTCCTTGGTTTTTATACCATCTATGAACCCCAAACATCAAAAAAAGTCAGTGTAACAATATTTGCTACATATTACCAAACTCCCAAAATCCACCCATTTCTGAAAATTACAGCACAAGCAAATGATGTTTATTCCCTTTAACAACAAGAACAAATTGTGACTTACCAGTTGTAGCCTTCTTGGAGTCTCAACATTGTGATAGACATGGAAATATGTGACTGCACTCTTCATTAAAGTCAAAACTAAAGGTATGTCCAAGCAATCAAATTTAGAAAAAGAAGAGAAAAGGAGAAATACACAAACTGACAAAAAACTACTCACAGAATGAATGTAATTGATGCCTGTTATTCCACATAACAGGCCATGTTAATTTGTACATCAACACACACATTAAAGGAATTCATGAATGAAAATGTTTGCTCCACAAATCATCTGACTGTGGTCTAAATTTTCTTCAAATATATCTCTGCAAATATATCTTTAAACAGCCAGATATTTGGACAGAAGTCAGTGCAGTTTGCACCCAAAAACAAACGAAAAACCAAAAAAATGGCAATTTGAAGTGCCATGTTTTTAGAGTTCAACATTTGGAAAGGTATGTGTTTTGTAGAAAACTTCAAAGTTACGAACAATACGCAACACACATAGTCAAACTTTTTACTTCTCTGATATGTATTACACAAAAATCTGTTATTTCATTTTATTTTCTAAAATTCTTTACAATCACACAATCAATTCATAGGTATCTCACGCACGCTGACATCATTTCTTTTAAAAACAAGAAATTCCTAGAAATGAAAAAAATATAAAATTGCTTAAGGTTTTCCAGGAAGTTTCATTTTGTGATTCCATCACAAGTCAAATGACAAGAAGAACATAATGTTTGTCACAAGTCACAAGGGATTACCAATAAGACAAGAATGACTTTGCTACATTTAATTATTTGGTGACGACCTCAACTGGACGACTTGTAAATGATTTATGATTGACTTGTGATGACATTAAACAGAACTCCCTAGGAATTTTGGCTGGGATGTAACCTCAATCCTGCAAAATCCTCCAACTGCCTCCATGTAAAAATAGCATGCTGCCTCAATCCCGCAAAATCCTCCAGCAATCACTGTCAATATGTTGAGGCAGAGCCAGTGACATCCTGGAGCAGTGAGAAGGATTTCAACTATAATGTAGGCCTAAATTTGTGCACGGCTGAGCAACAACACAAGGTCAGGCCCAAGACCTTGACACAGTGCTTTTGCCATGTACGGTAGCTTCAATCCTACAGAATCCTCCATTTTGCAAAGAGGATTTTGGAGGATTTGGGAAGGTTATGGTTAGGAAAACTCAACACGCACAACTGCTTAGTTAAGGGCAATTACATGTAGGCCAAGTAGACAATCCATGCACATTTGGAATATAAAAAACACAATCTTTTCTTTGCCTCGTTTTTAACACGTTTAATGACCATTTCATTCAAAACCTAAAAACAAATTAACTGAAATCACACATAATCTTTGCTCCATATTGTAAGTATATATATTACCATTCTTATCCAAACTGATAAAATCATTATACATTATGATACTATACATCTATGATTTGAAGGACGGGATCAAATTTTTGCACAATGTTGAATAACTTACGGAACTACACAAAAAAGTATAAACGAACATGTATGGTTTTTAGAGTGGACTGAAAATAAGTTTTTTTACTCCGAAAAACTTTTTTTAAAGAATGGTGTTCTAGAGGCTTACTGAAATACACAAAAAAGTATAAACGAACATGTATGGTTTATAGAGTGGACTGAAAATAAGTTTTTTTACTCCGAAAAACTTTTTTTAAAGAATGGTGTTCTAGAGGCTTGCCAAACCAACCTATATCTAAAATCTGAGTTACACTAACAAGAATATGTACATGCATGACAGGAAAAACGCTACACACATGAGGTGTTTTTGTAGACTCTTTGCAGTGAGCTGTAGAGGGCGCACTTTATGAAAACCAGGGTGGCCTAGGATACATCCTGAGCATGCCCTGGTTTGTGTGCAAACATGGAATGGAGTACATACAGCAAATTTTGAACTTGATGTCCTGCGCAAGAAACTGTAGTAATTTCTTTGCGAGTACTCGAGTAGAAAAATCCACTACTCGCCCAGGCCTAAACAGGAATGTCCATAAATAACAGAAATTTAAACCACTGATCAGTCAGTATTAACAGCACCTCAAAACACGCTCAGAACAGTCCCAGAACCTGTCATTATTATCAGAATACATTTCCAAGAATTACCACACATATACAAATACTCATGGCTACGTACGTACATTGTATGTAGATGTAGACACACATTTTGTAATATTTACAAATATCAGAACAGATACTTTTCCACTCCAAGGGAATGATAAAATGTACAAAGACATAATCATTGGCATAATCCATTCTCCACTTTGGTTGATACATATAAGTACTGAGAATAAACCGATACGCTGGGATTATTTTTGCCAAAAATTTCAATTTTCGCCAAAGGCAAAATTTTCCAGCCAACTTCTGATATACAGCCAAACGCCACAAATACTGATTTGCAAGAGTCATTTCAACAGTATTTGTATGATATTTCTTGCCGAAACCTTGTATGTTTCAACACTCAGTACAATTCCTTATCACTCTAAATATTAAGTTTTGGATTAATCGGGATCGAGACTTTCTGTTTTGAGAGTTTTACATGTACATCCACAATAATTGATGACTGACGAGAAATATATGAAACAAAAGAACTGCTAGTACTGATACTCTGTAAAGTTTGAATACTTTTTAAGTCAGCAATGAGTTACAATGCCCGTGTCACTATGTACAAAATACTAGACATGAATGAGAAATGAATACAAGTGACTGATAAGTCTTTGCCTGGTAACCACTGAATGCCCTAGCTAAGTCCTAAACTACACAAGTACCAGTATTTTATATTCTCTCATAGAAAACTACTTTTCATGTTTACACAATTTACACGTAGATTACATGTAAAAATGAACATCTACCAGTACAGGGTGAGTATGGTGAGTCAAAAAACACGAAACTCAAATGTCGGGACCGTTGTTTTAGTGAAGTTCTGCACGTAGCACTTTCAAAATCTAGGATATGAAAGCCCAATTCATAAGCTTTCTTTCAGTACACGAATCATTCAAATCACCCATGTACTTTTCAAGTTACGGAATTTTAAACACAACCACCGTTTTAAAGTTCTGTCCACGGATCACAAGAAGGTAAGTGTTCTTTCAGCAAAACAAAAACAAATCACATACATGTAGGGGTGTGTGTGAATTGGTTTCGTTTTGCTAAAAGAATGCACACCTTTTTTGTGATCCGTGGACAGAACTTTCAAACGGTGGTCGTGTTTAAAATTCTGTAACTTCAAAACTACTTGAGTGATTTGAATGATTCTTGTACTAAAAGAAAGTTTATGAATTGGGCTTTCATATTTTTGATTTTGAAAGTGCTACATGTAGAACTTCACTAAAACAATAGTCCCGACATTGGGGTTTCGCTTTTTTTGACTCACCCTGTACATACCGGTATCTGAAGGATGCTGATGGATATTTACATCTGAAATAATACATGCGGTGCTTATAATTTTATATAGCGCTTAAAAGCAAAGGTCTCACAGCACTTCATGATTATTACCCCTGTTCATCAGGCAATGCATGAGGCTAGTTTCTGCAGCAGCTCAATATCAGCGCATTCTGGTCTCTACCTTCACAGGTACCCGTTTATACTCCTGGGTGGAGAGAGGTAATTGCAGTCAAGTGCCTTGCCCATGAACACAAGCACCATGTTTCCCGTCAGGGTTCAAACCCACGTATACGTACCACGGCACAAGAGTCGAACACCGTAACCATTGGTGCTCCAATATAAAGCAGGAATTTCACATCGCAAATGCAAGTCAAATTCGGGATTAGTTCTTCGCAGTGATTTTGTAAAGCCAAGTTTCCAAATCTTGAGAAGAAAACTCTGCATGGTTTCCTTGCACTCGCACGACCACATTTCTCAAAACCTTACACTCTCCAAGACAACATCTTCTAGCTCTTTTAAAAAAATTAGAACATATGAAGGAAGAAAGTAACAATTTGCTGGCTTTTGGTTGAAGAGATGAATATACAAAAGTAATATGAATGTCGCCAATGACAACAATATGACCAATAAGTACTGCACAGCAGCGCCATCAGTTTGGCTAAGAATTATTACCAAATCTCAAACAAGTTTGTTTCTATGCAGAATACAAAAGAAAATTTAATTAAATATTTTAGAAAAAAAAAGGCACTGTAGAATGCAATTGAACAAAACTAAGTAGCAATTCCCAAGTTGGATTTAATAAATATTTCCAAAGCAAACTGTGTCTTTGAACCTCTTTTTGTTGTTGAAACCTTGGTGAAAAGTCATGAAAATATAGGTTTCTGGAAAGCTGCAAAGAGTTTGACGGTTGTACTTTATACAGACTCCTGCAGTTGTAAAAACATGTCAACCATTCAAAGGGCAGTTCTAGATAAGTCAAGCTTATCTCTACCTGCAGAAGATGAGAAACATCTCTTCGATGACGTAGCAGTTATGCACTTGTAATTTCCATGTCGGTTGTAGAAACATCTTGATGCGAAGACGCAGGTATCCAATGTCAAAGGTCGCCATTTTTTTTTCAGAGTATACTCACCCACCTGTGTTGCCATGTCAACCAAACACTGTCTCCTCACAGAACTTCAGCTGCCAAATCTTGCCGCCGTAGATCTCAAAGTCTTCTCGGCCCATCAGTGCTACCAGTTCAGCCTTTTCAAAAATGAAAGAAAAGATGACAGTCTGAAAGTGTTTCTGTCCAAAGAGTATGTCTGTGATGGGCATGTGAGGATCTGTGATGGACGTGTGAGGATCTGTGATGGACGTGTGAGGATCTGTGATGGACGTGTGAGGATCAGTGATGGACATGTGAGGATCTGTGATGGACGTGTGAGGATCTGTGATGGACGTGTGAGGATCAGTGATGGACATGTGAGGATCTGTGATGGACGTGTGAGGATCTGTGATGGACGTGTGAGGATCTGTGATGGACGTGTGAGGATCTGTGATGGGCGTGTGAGGATCTGTGATGGACGTGTGAGGATCTGTGATGGACATGTGAGGATCTGTGATGGACGTGTGAGGATCAGTGATGGACGTGTGAGGATCTGTGATGGACGTGTGAGGATCTGTGATGGACATGTGAGGATCTGTGATGGACGTGTGAGGATCAGTGATGGACGTGTGAGGATCTGTGATGGACGTGTGATGTTCTGTGATAGACAAGTGAGGATCTGTGATGGGCGTGTGAGGATCTGTGATAGGCGTGTGAGGATCTGTGATGGACGTGTGAGGATCTGTGATGGACGTGTGAGGATCTGTGATGGACGTGTGAGGATCTGTGATGGACGTGTGAGGATCTGTGATGGACATGTGAGGATCTGTGATGGACATGTGAGGATCTGTGATGGACGTGTGAGGATCTGTGATGGACGTGTGAGGATCTGTGATGGACATGTGAGGATCAGTGATGGACATGTGAGGATCTGTGATGGACGTGTGAGGATCTGTGATGGACGTGTGAGGATCTGTGATGGACGTGTGAGGATCTGTGATGGACGTGTGAGGATCTGTGATGGATGTGTGAGGATCTGTGATGGACGTGTGAGGATCTGTGATGGACATGTGAGGATCTGTGATGGACGTGTGAGGATCTGTGATGGACGTGTGAGGATCTGTGATGGACGTGTGAGGATCTGTGATGGACGTGTGAGGATCTGTGATGGACATGTGAGGATCTGTGATGGACGTGTGAGGATCAGTGATGGACGTGTGAGGATCTGTGATGGACGTGTGAGGATCTGTGATGGACATGTGAGGATCTGTGATGGACGTGTGAGGATCAGTGATGGACGTGTGAGGATCTGTGATGGACGTGTGATGTTCTGTGATGGACAAGTGAGGATCTGTGATGGGCGTGTGAGGATCTGTGATAGGCGTGTGAGGATCTGTGATGGACGTGTGAGGATCTGTGATGGACGTGTGAGGATCTGTGATGGATGTACGTGTGAGGATCTGTGATGGACGTGTGAGGATCTGTGATGGACATGTGAGGATCTGTGATGGACGTGTGAGGATCTGTGATGGGCGTGTGAGGATCTGTGATGGGCGTGTGAGGATCTGTGATGGGCGTGTGAAGATCTGTGATGGACTTGTGAGGATCTGTGATGGACATGTGATGCACTCGACTACAAGACTGGAGGGCAGGAGGCTGGCTCTTCAGGTCCAGCAACAAGAGTCTTACCTCGACTGACTCTTCATCACCGTTATCCAGACAGTCGTAAGCCTTCTGAAGCATCTCAATCCCGATGCCGTTCATGATGTCTTTCCTCAGAGCTGCGATCCTGTCCATCAGTCGGCCCGATGTTGTCATTGTTGCATTACCTGGAGGGTCAAACATCAATGAAAATTGAGAAATTGTGCAAGTCTTTGTCTGGGCACTACATTGCAAGTATTGTACAGTTACCTTTCTGTGAGGTGCTAAGCATGTGAATCTTTTAAACATAGTCAAGTTTCTCTAGACGCATTTGCTTGTACCTGTCATAGTCATAGTCACAGGACAAGACGTTCACAAGTTAGGTCACAAAGTAATGGAAAGTAAAGGGAATGAACATTTAACAATGACTAAAGTAGGCCTCTCTTTCACATACATGTATTTGATTGAAAAGCTTGTAACTTGACTTGAGATTGAAGGCTGTATAATTGACTTGTGTATTTACGGGTAGAATGGAAACTGGGTACCATATTGAAGTAAAACATGGTACCCAAGTACCCGTTAAAGAACCCAACCCCAAAATTCAAATCTCGGAAGATGTCTGAAGGGCGTTATAGCTTTACGGTGTAAACTGCAACTTTCGCAAGCGTCATCTGTCGCACTAAAAATGCACATAAATGTGAAATCTGTTTTGGTTCTCCAAGTCAACTGGTTTTCATTTTGAAAATTCCCAACAAATGGCATTCCTAACCTTTCTTTTTCATTGTCTGAGAAGTTACTAAGTAATTTGTAAAGTTGGTTACGGGTACCCAATCCCATAATCTGGAACCGGTTCCTGACATCAATGGTTGGGTACTCGGGTACCTGGTTCCGATGCATAGACCTAGTACTTAACTTTAACTGTTTTACTTTAATAGCAGCATGCAATGCACAACTCATTACATTGGATGGATTCTTATTAATGGCTTCTACTCCATCATGTGCAATGAGACACATAGCCACCCAAATCCCCTTAACCCCCTTCCCCCCCCCCCCAAAAAAAAAATTGATAATAACAAATAAAAACTTGGAGTTTAGTGTTTTGCAAAGAATGTAGTATCCAGACGCCACTTCTTTGGTTGTGTACAAAGTCTATGGAGAGTCGAGTGCATTTTCAAAGTATTTTCTAACAAAATTGGAAATGTTTCTCAGTCCCAGATTCACGTCTTTTCATCAGTATTTTTGTACTGACTGACCTTCATTGAGATAATATTTGATGAAAAGAGGGGGGTCGGGATGCAACTTCTTTCGGTGTTTGTTATTATTGGGAAAATTCAAGTTGTTTCCCTGAAAACTGATGTCATTACGGTGCTGAGTTGCAAAATGTGGATGAAAAGAGATACGATACCTGAAAAAAATGTTCATTTTGACTAGAAACTCAGTTTAGTAAGTGCTCGCATATGACAAAAACACACATGCAGAGGTTTTGATGTTTTAAAATGAATCAAAATGGTGATTTACAAAACGCATGCTTGAGTGACTGACAAAGAAATTAATGAAACTGAGGATGGGTTGCATCTTAGCAAACAAAATAACAGCAACTTATGGAATTGTTTTTACCTGGTTGTACTTTCTTAAAAATCATTCTAGCCTCCCCCCACCCACACCAAAAACAAATAAACAAAAAACAAACCAGCAAAGAACAAATAACCACAATTAAAAATTTTTAAAACAAATTGAAATTACAAATTACAAATTACAAAAATAAACAAAATAAAAAATTAACTGAAACACAGAAATAATAAATTCATTATGTTTTGTGTTTAACAACATGCCCTACAATTTGAAAAAAAATGGTGCTATTATTGTTAAACATAATGATCTTGGAGCAAACTCACGGGCAAAAGGCATCCCTGGCGAACCTGGTTAACAAAAACGCATTAAATTTGCAAGCAGGGTGGATTTAATTATTATTGAAATGAAAGGATTTGTGGGGGAAAAACAACAAACAAACAAGTGTGTAGTTTATGGCCAAGGAATGACATCTCCATATCACATGAAAAACAGAGGTATGCACCACTCATTGAACATGCACTGATAGAATCTAAAAGGCGTCAAGCTCAAATATCTAAACCAAGGGCGATTTTGGGTCTGGTTACAGTCATAGTTTTGGGTTCCGTTCGGGGCGAAAATCCTTGGGCGTGGGGGTATATATGTATCCCCCCACACACACTTAGTGGCCAGGGAAAGGGCTTATCATCTCCCCCCCCCCCCCCACTTTTTCGTTGTCAGAAACAAAGGCAGATTTTGAGGTATTATTCAAACTTCCTAGCAACCAAAATGTATTCAAAAGCACTGATAAACAAAGAAAAAAAAGTACAAAAGATTAAAATGTGTCGTTTTGGTGTAAGGTTGAGGAGTGTAAGAATGCGTAAGTATCAAGAACAGCGCTTCCTAGTGTAAGGTGGTGTACAGCTACCAGTATACGCCCTTGTATTTCAGTATTCTTGGGTCTTAGAAAAACACTGGTCTATAACACAAGAGTGTACTAGGGAATGTGCAGGCTACTGCACACCACACACGCGTGAATGGGTTTCCTACACCTACTTGAAGTACAATTTTCAAATTAACTAGCAAGCCATGGGAGGCATACTGACCTAGTCCCCTCGGTGCTCTCGGTGCCGCTGGCCTGATGAAGATATCGACGGTGCCGCTCAGGGGATCCATGTTGCTCTGTCCGATGGAGGAGTCAGGGGTGTCTATCCCATCGGGTGTGTCTTCTGGTTCGTCAGGGTCTTCGTTGATTTCCTCCTCCAGGTTGGGTATGTCTAGTTTTAGTGTTGACTCCAGGAGGGAGGAGAACTCTGAAATCTCTTTCTCCTCGCTGAAGGGAACAGAGAAAAAAAAATGAGACGAGGACCAAAAATCCTGGAGCAGCTATGCAGAAAATATACGACTCAGCCCAACAAAAGGAGTCTGAATTACTTTAAAGGTAGGGTAGATCATTAATTTTGTCATTTGTGCAGTTTTTCTCGTTTGAAGCAACAAAACATTAGGCCGTAGATTTTTGTTGATTCAAATTTACTTAGCTGCCCAATATGTTAGCTACTTTTTGTCTGTGTTGTTGGTCCCAATGACCACAGGTTTTTCCGCGATAGCCTTTAAAAAAAATTTTCTGCGACCCGAGCTGTTGACTTTTTAGCCTCAAGCCTTGCGCATCTTTTGATACCAAAATATAAAAATCGGACCACGGGTTGCCACGCAGCGAAAAATTTGCCGGTGAAAACTGAATTTTCCCATATACGTCGTGTACACAGAGCAGAATTACCATTTGTACATATAAATACGTAATTAGCCATAATTCCAAAACCCTTTGACCTATAGTCATGAAATTTCTTGGGTATGGTCATGAAGAGTTGCTCTATGCATGTACCGAGTTTCAAAATTTTTGGTCACTCGATGGCCGAGATATTAAGGGGGGAGGGGGTGGAAATGGGATGGTCAAAATAATCCGGCCCTTTTAGGGTTAAGGCCACTTCATACTTTATGAAATCAAATTTGAACAAGACTTTGTAACCTCAAGACAAATGTTCCTTTGCAGAAGTTAAAACACATTTTGGCAGAGGCAAGTTTGACTGGGAATGGGTTGTTAAGCCAATTCGTTTTGCATTCAAATCATGTTTGCATGTAGTACGACCCAGCTTTTATTCGTTTCAAACAAAACCTGATACGAGAAAACCAATCCTCACTATTTCTTGGCTTTTTCTGGGGCATCAGTTGAATCATCTGAGTCGTCATCTCCCACGCTTGGTCTATCAGAACGCCGTGACGCTGCATCAACCTCATCGTCACCTTTGACCTTTGGTGCGGATGAATCCACTTCATCACGACCTTTCGCCTTGACCTACATAAGGACAATATTGCAATATAATATAAGAGTCTGAAAATTGGATAAAAGGTCTAAAAGATTTTTTTTTCTATACTGATAAGGCCAGAAACCACCCTGCCTGTTACTCACTGTAGCACCCAAAACTCCCCAAGCACTATACAGGGTGTTTCAAAAAAACAGGAAACCGAGCTTATTTTGTTGATTTCTCGGGTATGACAAATTATTTAGGAAAATGGTAACCACCATCTGTTACATAACCACGTCTTCTTTTTCTTGACACCACGAACTCCATTTTACCGCCACGGATGACTGAGCACCAAGTGATGTAACTGACATGCCAAAAATGGCCTTGTACCACAAGCACCATAAGACCAATTGACAGTTTTCAGCATGTTGAAAATAACAAAATCCAGGACGTACATTATCAAAGTCAAATTGCTAAAACATATCAAGCAAGCAGAACCTTAGAATGATAGCAACTCACCCTGTGTGGAGGGTTGGGGTCAGACTTGGACCGCGTTGCTCTCGTTTTTACTACACCGTTGCTTGACTTCCTGCCTGCTGCAGCGTCAGCGGAACTGCGTACTAGAAAGCAAACATGAAACAATTTAATCCACATAAAAGTCATAGATAAATTATCTTATTAAAGTAACCCTCCTATATTTGTAACTATCACAAACTGTCAAAAACCTAACCCCTACCTCTCTTAATAGCTTTTGTACAGACTGGTCACCAACTACCAGAAACCCAGATGGATTAAACCCTATAACTGCCAAAGCCTGTTGAAGTGGTTTGATAGATAGCTTGACCATTAATACTGGTACAGCTTGTGTAGCAGCCATTTTAACCCTAAAAGTGCCGGGTTATTTTGACCATCTCTCAGCCGGGGGATTCTGCCCCCCCCCCCAAGATCTCGGCCATCGAGTGACAAAAAATTTTGAAACTCGGAACATGCATAGAGCAACTCATCATGAACATACCCAAGAAATTTCATGACTATAGGTGAAAGGGTTTTAGAATTATGGCTAATTAATTATTCATATGTACGAATGGTAATTGTGCTCTGTGCACACGATGTATATGGGAAATTTCAGTTTGCGCCGGAAACTTTTTCGCTGCGTGGCAACCTGCGGTCCGAAAAAATTGAGGGGGGGTTCCGCCCCCGCCCCCCCCCCCCCCCCCGGCCCTTTTAGGGTTAACCTGTCAATTGTACCAATATGAGGCACACTTACGGACCTGTTAGAAATTGTAACCTGTTAGATTTTGACCCATAGGGTTACTCTCTACATACTGTCACTGAGGGAGGGAGGGATAAGTAATAAAGACAAGAAATAGTATTTCAAAGGTGATCAGAAATGTATTATGTACAAAAATGCTATGCAACTGCATATCATGTAGTGCTTTATAAAAAATGCAAAGAAATTCTGATCTAGCTTGGACAGGATAGAATTACTTTTGTAGGAAAGGACAAGGTTCAAGATTTGTTTTGGGGTAAAAGTAGAAGTGGCTGGTGGGGGAGTGTGGCCTAGTGGTTAGGGTTTGTGTCTCATGATCAAAGGGCCAGGGGTTCGAATCCAGCTGCTGGCCATATGTTGTGTCCTTGGGCAAGCCACATCACTCCAACATGCCTCTCTCCACCCAGGAGTATGGGTATTGGCATTAGCTGGAGAGTAACCTGTGATGGACTGGCATCCCATCCAAAGGAACAAAAATATTCCCAGGTCTTCCATGCCAAGGAAACTGGAGATAAACGCGGGCCTGATGAGCCATTTGGCTCGTAACAGACTTAACTTTTCATAAGACAGATGTATCGGCATGTGCGGGTATAGCCAGTCCAACCATTTATGCTTCTGTAGAAGAGATGGCATGAAGTCAAATTCGGGGACAGTGGCGCTTTTGTCCCTAAGCAACATGGTTTATCACAATTTGTGTGCCTACCAGTCGGACCAGTGGCTGCTCCTTCTTGTGATTCCCTCAGCTTTTCCCGTCTTCGCATTCTTGCGGAGGTGTTGACCGACCGTCTCTGCAAAGAATTGATGAAAGCAAGTTATAATGAGCATTTTTTTATTTAGCTTAAAAAAAATTTCTTTTTCTCCTTACAAATTTGTAATTTGTATGTTTTGTTTTAATGGAAAAACTATTTTATTCGGAACTTAGGCGTTTGTAACCCTCAGAAAAATGAATTTGTTTTTGCGCACAAATGAACGCACCCTGCAAATTATTGTCTGAAATCAATCTTACCCCTTCCTCTTCTGTTCTGGGCGTGGCTACACTCTCCTTGGAACTGGAGACAGAACTGGACGAAGATGAGGAGGAACGGCCGACGTTACGACTGCCTGATGGGTTCTTACTGACACTGGCACTCTTGCGCGGGGTACCAGCGTTAGTGGGCGGAGTTGGGAGTGGGCGTGGCTTCCTTACGGCAGAGCTCTGTGAAGAAATCCGACAGTATGAATATTTAAAACTTTTAATGGTATCCATTTAAGGGAATAACTGTCAGCTTGGCCGGTTTTAAACACTATGTTTAAGACTGGTTGGAGGATAATTATCAGTATCCAGACTCCAATCGGTCTTAAACAGAGTGTTTAATACCGGCCAAGCACAAATTTGTTCCCATTCATAAAAACCTTTTCGGTCAGAAAAATTCAAAACTTTTCAGTCCAAAAGTCAACACAAGTCAAAAATAAGAAATTTCCAACAATTTTTTTTTCAACAATTTTACTTTTTTGGGGGATACCCCTCTAGTTATATAATGGAATGTCCAGTCTTGGGAGTAGTGGTAAACAACTCCTTACGTGGAGATTGGCGCGCGCGTCGTGCATACTGCCCGATGTTGCGCAGAACGCAGCTGTTCCGGTGTGTAGTGAATTTAGGACTATGAAATACAGACTCACTGGTACTGTTGCACAAGCCTACGTGAGGATTGTGAACGTTCAACCACTTAAATGGTAAAAGACACTGGATTTCAAAGGAGTCCAAATTTCATGTGACACTGAATAAGTTTTTAAGACCAGCCAGCTGGTCTCTATCATCTGTTTAAAGCCGGCCACGTGATGGGCTCTCTCTTGTAATCTTAAGTTGTGTTTGGGCAGCCAGGAAAGAGCAAGACTCTAAAAGGGAACAAAAAGGCGTGTATCGTTTTGTGGAAATAAACTCTTCACATGATTGTTCTTCTGGCTTAGGAGAAATTTGACGTAATCTTACTCTGTCCTTAGCACCATCTTTAGCAGGTTCCTTCTTGTCTTTTGACCCTGACGATGAGGGGCGAGTCTTGGCTGACTTTTTGGCATCGCCGCTGGAGACTCGAGGCGTTGAGGAAGGTTTCTTAAAATTAATAAAGAATTTAACAATAACTTTAATTAAACAAATTGGGCTGATTAATTGTACCCAAATCAAAGGAAACACAAATTGAAATTCAATTGATGTTATGTCCATTGAGAGCATAATTTGGGTTTTGTTTTACTAAAACAAAATTGATATCAAAATGAGAAGTTATAAAAAAAACAAAAGACAAAATGACATCTGATGACGGGATTAAAAAAAATTTTAAGTTGAGTTCGCTCCTCAGATTTAGTTTGAGTAATATGTGATCCTTTTCATTTCATTTGGTTTCATTTTGGGTTTGAGAGGAATATGGCTTATGCATCTGGTTACTATGAATGCTGTGCTTACAGGGTTTCAGTCAATTTTTTTCACTAGGCCTGTTGGCACAGAATGGCGACTATAAGCACAGGATCTACATTCCATGCTAACAAAAAACTTGTGTGCTAACAACGTAAGCACAGAACCCTAAATAGACCTAAAGACATAATGGCCAAGTTGGGGCGGTCAAGCTACATGAGTCGTTTGTCGGGAATTTTCATTTGCAGAATTTCATTTTCGTTTTTACTTACTAAGTAAAGATCTGCTGAGTACCAGTCATACGCAATGCACATTGCATGGCACCTTTGCTGGTAACCCTTCTTTTGGCTCAGCTAACATTTTCTATGCTTATCAATTTTCTGTTCTTTACAGCTCAAGGGAACTGGCCCCTAGTCTCGGCCTGCATACCTTTGCACTCTTGGCGGGTACTTCGGTGATCGGTGATAGAGCGCCCCCAAGAGGCACGTCGTTGACAGCTGCAGTCTGCGGTGAGAAGGACGACACCTCAACGATCTCTGGCTTGGATGACCTTCTCTCTGTACTCCCAGAATTCGGTCGTCTGACAAAAACAACATGCGTTCAAATTTGTAGTTGGTTTGCAATTGGGCGAATCCGTGAATGGGTGACGACCAGCTGAATGAGAATCTTGTCCCAAATGCCGATATTGGGATTGCGTCACGACAGGGCATAACTAAAAATAAGCATCGGCAACTTTGAAATTAAAATTGAGATCCAGAATATTGTGTTTCTGACCAAGTTCGGGCAAGGACTATTAGTCGACTAGTGGTTGATTTGTGACGTACCTTACGCCTGCGCACTAATAGCAACGTGCGAACGTCTCTAGTCAAACGCTGGTCAAAATGTCATCGCAAAACTTCTGGATCCTGGCTCCCTGCTGTACGTTATGAATGTGCGCGGCTATTGGTTACCAGCGATGCAACCAGCCCCAGTAGGCTTGTTCCAAATAGTCGACTAGCGTAGTCAACCATCGTCGACAAGACAGAGTTCGGGCTATCTTTAGTCGAACTATGGTTAACCAACGGTCAACAATAGTTCTTGCGCGAAATTTCCCAATGCTTGTTCTGTTTTCTTGAACTATACAGCATTCACAGAGCTAAAACTTCATTAGGTTTAAGTTACTAAGCATCGGTCTTTAGATTTGAGCACTTATGTTGGTTGAAACAGAAAAATGCACAAATTACAAATGGCCCACTCTACCTATAACTACTCCCGAGTTGGCAATAAACACTGCTTACTTCGCAAGTCGGTAATAATACACGCGTCTCCCTAATACCAGTCTGCTTGTTCCAGTTGCAGGTGCCATGCCCAAGTGCACATATCGTGCTTCTGTCGAACATTTAGATGGCAGTCACAGGACAAGTTCGCGCAAGAACTACTGTTGGCCATTGGTTAACCATAGTTCGACTAGAATTAGCCCGAACTCTGTCTAGTCGACGGTGGTTGACTACGCTAGTCGACTATTTGGAACCAACCTACTGGGGTTGGTTGCTTCGCTGGTAACCAATAGCCGCGCCCATTCATAACGTACAGCAGGGAGCCAGGATCCAAGAGTTTTGCGATGACATTTTGACCAGCATTTGACTAGAGACGTTCGCACGTTGCTATTAGTGCGCAGGTGTAAGGTACGTAACAGATCAACCACTAGTCGACTAATAGTCAGAGGTGGTTGACTACGCTAGTCGACTATTTGGAACCAACCTACTGGGCCTGGTTGCATTGCTGGTAACCAATAGCCACGCACATTCATAACGTACAGCAGGGAGCCAGGATCCAAGAGTTTTGCGAAAACATTTTGACCAGCGTTTGACTAGAGACGTTCGCACGTTGCTATCAGTGCGCAGGCGTAAGGTACGTAACAAATCAACCACTAGTCGACTAATGGTCCTTGCCTGAACGTGGCCACAGCTGCCAAGGAGGTGGCGGGGGGGGGGGGGGGGGGGGGGGGGGGGTAATGGATTGCTCTATCCCATCATACCTTGATTTGGTGCCCTCTAGGAAGATAGCTATGTGTTTCTTGATGAAGGGATTGCGTAGGATCCGCGCTACACTCGGACGTTTCTCTGGAGCGAGATTCAGCATCGCCTTGATCAATTCAATGAGGTCCTCGCTGTAGGACTTGGGCATAGCAGGCATCTGGGAATTCAAAGAGAATTATTTAATGGACAATTCAAAACATCAAACAGCGAGGGCACTTTTCATTGCAAAAAAAATCAAAGACACTGGCATGACTGGTGACAATGGACACGAGAAAGCTTCATTTTGTGGTTGGGATGGGAGTGACAGAAATTAAGACATTTCTAATTTTCTTTTTTTTTTGAAGCAGGGTGGTGGTGGAAGATGCAGCTCATAATCAATATTATTCTCAGTTACAAGTTTTCTTTGATTTCTCCTTTTAATAATTGAGAACTAAATAAACTAGTTAAACATCATAAAAATAATTTGGGCATTATTTATTTCCCTTTTTCTGCCCTTCGTACATGTTGCGTATCTGTTTTTGAGGGTGAACGAAAAGTCTGTTTTCCAAAGGCTAAATTACAAGATATTTAGAAAAAAAATTATACCACTTTAGGGCATATACGATCATTTGTCTCTATCCCAAATGTGACGTACCGAATTGTTATCAAAAAGCTTACTTGGATTAAAGATCGTACTAAATAGCAAATTATTCCATTTGGTTTGTTGTCATTATTAGAAGAAATCAAGAAATGTAGGTGATCTTTAATGATCAGCCACTTGACTGATTTTTGGAAATAAAGAGGGCGAAAAGGTTGTCCCTAGTTTTTCACTGTTTTCTCGAAAAGTGCAATATCCACTGAGCTGAAACTTCAACAGATTAGGTTTTGAACATTCTTCTTTGGATTTTGAGTGGGGTTATTATTGGAAAAAAACAAAATGCATTAAAAGCAAATGGCTCTCTATGCCTTCATGTTCTAACGACTTGGCCAAACCAACCTTTTGCAGAAATCTGGCATTTCTTTGGGATACTCAAATTTTTAAAAATCTCTAGATTTTGGTTAATATCACCCACCTTGCCCCGCAGTATTTTGTAGACCAATGAGTTCATATCTTTGGCATTGAAGGCATGCTTCAGTGTTGCCATCTCATAGACACAGCAGCCGAGCGCCCAGACATCAGACTGAAAAAAAAATGAAGAAAATGTCAGGAGGTACGAAAATAACCCTCCCATCAGTAAAAAATGCCTCTTGCAATAAATTCCAGACGACAAGCAAGGCATACAGTCCAAAACATTGACTTTCCATTCTTTTCAGAACCACAAAAGTTCACGAAAGAGAATAAGTGCAACCGTTAACTTGCACTTATTCCCATGTTTTGATTTCAATTAAGCACATCAGAGAATGTGACAATAGAGATGCATTATTGGTAATCGACGGAGTGTTTGTTTTTGGTGGATTCAGAAAGCTGATTAACCCCAACTCCCTAGGCCTTTTTGCTAGGATGTAGTCTCAATCCTGCAAAATCCTCCAATTAGCCTCATGGAAAAATAGCATATAGCCTCAATCCTGCAAATTCCTCCGTTGTTTCTTGAATATGGTCCATGGAGGGGTGATCACTGCCTGAATCCTGCAAAATCCTCCGGCTATGACTGTCAATAGGCTGAGGCAGAGGCAGTGACATCCTGGGGCAGTGCGGAGGATGTCAAGTATAATCAAGGACTAAATTTATGCACGGCTGAGCATAAACAACACAAGGTCCGGCCCAAGACCTTGACACAGTGCGTACTCCGAAATCAGCAACGCACTTTTGCCATGTATCCTCAATCCTGCAAATTCCTCCAATTTGCAAAAAGGATTTTGGAAGATTCAGGGCGGTTAGAGTTAAAACATGAATGTCCCATCAAACAGGGCAATCTTTACATACCTTGTGGTTATACGGTTTATTACTGAAGAGTTCGGGACTCATGTAGTACGGGGTACCAATCAGCGTGGTTGCCATGTCGTTGTTCCCTTCTAGCACCCTGGCTATGCCTAGATCACCCACTTTGATGATCTTGCTCTTTGTCAAGAAGATATTCTGTGTCTTCAGGTCGCGATGGAGAATGTTCCTCTCGTGCATGTACTGAAATTGGAATCGGAGAAGAAGAAAAAAAATTAGAGAGAAATTGCAATGTTTATATTTATTATTTAAGTTTTTAATGGAGTTAATTTTCTCAAATGAAACTGGATTATTTTCAAAAAGTGATCACAGCCACTATGTTCAAGCTCAATATTCAAAGGAAACTATAAGAAAGAAAAATCAAGATAATTAGTGGGATGAAGACCCCGAAATGATATTCTACAAAAATGGCCAACCAAAATCACAAATAAGTAAGATTTGAGGCTTTGCATGGTGGAGATACTAAATAATGAAAGGTTTGTGGAAACACCATGTGCGAATAATTTCTCAACAAAGAGAATGAGAGAGTTTATACCTTTGCTTCTTTTCAGAACCATTCTCTTAGTTGAGGAATTATTCGCACATGGTGTTTTTGCAAACCTTTCATTATTCAAAATCACAAAAACAACAAAAGTTAGGCATCAACTAGTACACAAGATTTAGACCCAGATCGCAGAAATAGAATACCGTTTTTACTGTCATTTGGGTTTTTTTTTAATATGGCTTTAAACATTAGGGAATGTTTAATTACAAATTTAAAATTATTTATTGAGGCAGACTGGAATTGATTATAAATGAAATTGCTTTCCTTTCTCTTCGCAAGTTCAAAAAAATTAATATTTTACCTAACTTTCAATTCAATATGGTCGACTCGTGAATAAGGCCAATTGTGACGAGTTTGTAGGCTGTACCCTGCATTGTTTATGTTCAGCCATGCATAATTGAGCTCTGCATTGTGCTCGATATCATCCGCACTGCTTCTGAATGTCATCGGCACTGCCTCAATCCATTAACAATGATTGTTGTGGGATTTCAAAGGATTGAACAAATTCCAGAAATAACGGATGATTTTGGAGGATTGAGGCTGAATCCAAATGGAGGCAATTGGAGGTTTTTCCGGATTGAGAATGGTTCCTAGCCAAAAGGGCCTAGGGGGTAGGGTTGATATGATTCAAAGAATAAGAAGCTGATGTTTCCATGACTGACCTGTAACGCCATTGCAATCTGCACAAACCACTCCACCACCTGTTTCTCCACCAGGGCCGCTCCTTTCTGCTCCTTGAGACGACAATACATATCTCCTCCATCACAGAAACCCATGACGATATACAAGAAGCCATCCTCGCTCTCAAACGAGTCCTTGTAGGAGACGATGTTTGGGTGTCGCAGTCGAGACAGGAGTTTGGCTTCTTGCTCTGCCGCGGTCCTCTCCCGCCGAGAGGCATTCAGCATCTCCATCTTCTTGATGACATACTGGGTCGGGAGGGGAGGGGGGGAAGGGGGGGGGGGGCGGAGAACACATGATTTGAATTAAGAAAATCTTGATCAAACAGGAAGGCTTGCAAAGTGGAAATAAATACGGCTTTAAGAGTTGAAGAGTTTATTTCCAAAACGCGATATACCAGTATCCATTTGAAAAAGTGAACATTTGCATGTTTGTACAACTTTAAAGGTAGAGTTTATCATTTGTAATTTGTGCACTATGTTCGTTTGAAGCAACAAAAGTGCTCAAAATCTAAAGACGGCTGCTTAACAATTTACCTGATGAACTTTTAGCTCAGTGAATGCTGTACATTCCCAGAAAAATAATTTTCTAGGGTCTCGATTTCAAATCAAAAGTTGCTGAGTCATGTTTTGAATTGCGCCCGAATTCAGCGTTCGGGACCCGTACTTAATCCAGCCGATTGCAGCTACGCGATGTCACACACTGAACTGGCAAATTATAGCAACACAGTCCTTCATTTAAAGAAAATCCAGGAGAGCTATAAATCGCTCTCCTCAAATATTTGAGGAGAGCAAATCGCTCTCCTTAAAATATACGGATAAACAGCGGTAAAACGACGGGTTACCATTGTTTTTGTTTTATGTTGAATATAAGGATTTATTCAAGGGGCTGCATTATTATTAGTTTTTGCATAATAAAATATGCTCAAGTTGCGTTACTTTTGTCGTTTTTGTAACTGTAAGACAAGGTAAAATTTATTTTAAAAAATTAACTAAATGGAGATTAATAAAAGGTTTGACTACTGCTTAGGCTTTCATTTTTTAATACAGTTGTCAGTTGGTTCATCACTTGATTGTACTTGGAAAATGGAGAGTTAGTAAACGGCACATAAAGCAACTGAAAATTTGCTTTCAGATTCGTTAAAATTATATGAAATTTTCAGCCTGAACTATTTCAATTGCTCTACGAAAGCTATACAAAAAGGGCCTCAAAATGACACAAACTTGCCTTAAGTTTTATCGAAAATATCTGCCGTCGATGATCTTAAAAATAATGGAAAATGCAGGTCAAGTATGCCATATACACAATGCTAGTCACGACGAGAAACTAAAACAACGTCTGAACTTCGCACTAGTACGAGCGTTTGTGATGCACTGTGTGTCGTGGGCCGGCAATGAGACTCGTTTCACGGTATAGGATTTCGGTGAAACACGCTGCATCATTTCACTTCACATACCAGTGAAACTTCCTCAAAATAAATTCATGAACACGGGAAATACATACACAGACAAGAGAGATCAAGTTTTGTGAATAAGCTTGCAAAGATCGTCCTTCTCAATCGTTGTTTTCTTGGCATTTTTACGAAGTCTATCCCGTCCGGCCTGCACGCAAAACACTGTACGGCAGGCAGTGCATTGCACCGCGCGCGACTATTACGTTGACTGGTAACCGCATTTTCATCATGCCTTCATTGGGACTTAGTGCGCGGCGAAGCGGGAACCAGTCATTGCTGCACTCACACGTACAGTACGTACGGGCCCACGTGTTTTCATGCAGCTCTATGCGACATACAGATTGTGCACGCACAGTATACAACCGCTGTACACACACGATCTTACAGTACGTACGAGCTCGGTGTTCGTTCATTTTTAGCGATGTCCAGCGGCATATTAACGTGAGTTTGGGCATTATACCAACAAAAAATACGTGTAGCTTAAGACTTAAAATCCTTTGCGTTTTTATCACTTCTTATTTTTAAACTTCCCGTGTTTGACGAGCCCTCTTTTGGATTTTTGAGGAGCGCTATTTTTGGCGCTCCTTCGAGCCAGTCGAGGAGCGCAGTAGGAGCGCCTGCGCGATCGCGCTCCTTAAAAATGAAGGACTGGCAACACGTGTGCGTCATGTCAACGCTTGCACGTGCTTCGCCGAATTAAAAAACAAACTACTAGTGGAAGTTTTCAAAAATCCATCTTAAGACGTATCATTGGAAATGGCCTTCTTTCATTGATTTCTTCAAAACGACAGCTTGCCAGAAAGAATAATTTCACAGGGAGTTTAGTCCCATTTCATTTCATTTCATTTCATATTTATTTCCACTTAATCATTTTGAAGGGAAACGGTTTAAACAATAATTTAGATAACAGGATAAGATTAAGCGGTGGGCTTGTCAAGTGGAGAAGTCCATTATGTGTAGAAAAAAATATATATTAAATATTATTATCTTTAAACCAAATGTTTCCAACACTAATTTTTTCAGTTACTTTTGGATAGCTGCAAATGATGGACTGTTGCTTAAAAAGAATATAAACAATACAATAGCTGTTTAAAAAAATTTCACCTGAATACATGTATTTTTACATTTCTCATAGGGTGTGTGTATTGAGTTGGCTTGAAATTAATGTTAAGTATTAAACTCAACTTTACTCAGAACTCAAAAGAATAATGTAATTTGACAAGTGACTCAAGGTCAATGTGATTTGTCTGTAGGTCACTGGTCCCAGAAGACTTTGGTGGTCAGTCTGTGACATAACCTATTCATGTACTGGTACTTGCCCAGTGGTTTATCGTACCTATTACCATCGGCCTAACCTTTCCCTGAGATAAATTGAAGCCCTGTTTTTCAAACTACGAGATCAACAATGCATAAAAATAAAGTTAAAATTGGTTATTTAAGATAGCAAAGCCTCACCTGTTTCTTGTCTTTCTTGTGTCGGACCAGCCAGACTTCTCCATAGCTTCCCTTGCCGACCACCTTCAGCGTATCGTAGTGTGTCAACGACATCACTGATATATTCAGAGCATCACTTCACTTCCAACAAAATCTGATTGCTGTCAGAAAAAAAAACTTTTTTAATAGTTTCCTTTTGAAATTCTGAAAAATGCGACGAACTGCTTTGATTTACAAAACTGTAATTGTAAATCGAAACTATACACAAACAAGTCAGGTGTGTTTACAAACACAACTGTGACTGTTCCCATGACATGACACCACTATTTTAACATCAACTTACATGTACATGTATACATCACATGAAACGTCAGAATAAACACATGAATAATGTATTTTTTTTTGCTTTTCTGTTGGGAAGTCATTGTATGTGATTTAAAAGAGTGAGTGAATGTGAAGAGATCCTGTACAAACAAGCTGAATTTAAAAAAAAACCCACAGCTGTAGATACCGTAAAGCGAAATAAAAGATCACATTTCAATTTTATACTAAACAAGATTTCTATTGTTTCAGCCAATGTGACCTTGACCTTTGATGTTTTGGCCCCAAATGCAATAGGCTTCTTAGGATTACCAAGAACAATCCACAAACCAAATTTGAAGTTCATATGTAAAGTACATGTATTTCTCAAGTTATCGTGCTGACAAGATTTCTATTGTTTTAGTCACAGTGACCTTGACCCTTAACCTTTCGGTCCCAAATGCAATAGGCTTCTTAGGATTACCAAGAACAATCCACAAACCAAATTTGAAGTTCATGTGTTAAGTATTTCTTAAGTTATCCCGCTGACAAGATTTTTCCGGACACACACACCCACCTACCCACCCGAACAAGGACAAGGCGGAAACAGTATGTTCCTTCGGCTTCGCCGCGGGGCATAACAAGAGTTAGAATTTTGATCTCACTGAAAGTCTATCTAGGGAAAAATTCGGCTACCCGATCACCACTTTTTTCAATTAATTTTCTAGCGCCAAAAGTTACATCTTTTATGGTTATTCCCTCCACTTTCCCTCCTCTACTCTCACCCTCTCCTTTCCTTAATTTCTATTTATCAATCAGTCACTTACGTCATCGAGATTTGAACCGCGGACGCTTGCTTGATACACGAGACTCTTAACCGCTAGGCCGCGCACGATCGCTGTTGCAATGATCAATCTTTGGACGTATTTGAAGTATCCATTGAAATAAACTAAATATTCATGAGAAAATAAATATTCATAATGACGTATTGCACTATCATTGGCCGGCTCATGCGACGTCTCATGCGACGTCATGGTTATCGATGTCATGCGTACAACGTACCGCTGTTCCAGACACTTCAATCAGTTTTGACCGGCTGCTTCAACTCAGATCTGCACTACATGTGCATGCAAAATGTGCTCTTAAAACACATTTTTACTAAAAAATTTTTCGCATGTCCACTGTTTCCTGGATTCCTCTTGGTTGAAATCACAAGGTGAGGTGAAAATTTGGATGTTTGGCGGCAGGTAAGTGGTGATCGGTTAGCCAAATTTTCCCCTATCTAGGCCTAGCATGCCTAGGCCTAGGCCCTATCTTTTTTTTTCTTTCAAATTTCTAACAGCTCTAATTAATCATGACAAGATTTAATAATAACATGTTTAATGATTGAACAAAATGATCATGATGTTTTAGAATTTTTTTTCGCTTAGTAATAGTACTAGTTTATACTAATAAACTACTAGTATAGTCGGACTCCCTATTATCGCGGCATCCCTATTATCGCGGCATGGGAAATTTCTCTTTTTACAGTGTCAAAACTCCTTCAAGTGGCGATTTTTATCCAGTTCACCAGTCATCAAGGATTTTCTACCGAGTTGTATAAAAAGGACGATTAAAAAATGTTGTGTCTTTCGGGACTTTTAACGATTTTAATAAATATTAACGTTTTCCAAAACTTGCAAAATTTTCCCTCACCGTGTCTGCTAAAAGGTACCGTTTATATTTTAACATAAATCTTTAATTGCGCTCTGTCCATGAAAGTTCCATTGTCTGGTTCCCATTCTTCAGCTGCAAATGTAAAATGAAGTCGAACGACGATATTTGCAGCGCGAAATCGTAACAACTTTTACGGGATCAAAATAAGCACCGCGCGTTAGCGAAAATAAAACGGCACACCGTGTAAAGTGAATGGCGCCCTCAATCGCCGATCAGTAGACTTGCCTCAGGGATTTGTGTTTTTCTTTCGGGGGAAGGGCAGGGTCTTAAGAAATCATCCTGCAGACATTTTGTCTTTAATCAACTTGAACGTTACAGGGAAAATATCAGACTTTATTCAGGGGGTGTTTTGGTCAAACATAAACTATGGACAAAAAAGTTGGGATCATTATTAAAACCACTTCCCGCATACCGCGATAATAGGGAGTCCACCTCTGTTCGCACACGCCGTGCATGTCTATTTTCACAGGCATCGTACACGGAATAAACCACACCACCCGTCAGATTTTTTTATATTAATTTAAAAAGGAAGAGTTATACTACACATAAGACAGGACAATTCTGGAAGGTTAGTGGGCAATCTCTATTCCGAACGAGAAACGTGATAAGTACCGCGATAATACGGCGTTCCATCCTACTAGTCATGCTAGTATTAATTTTACTACTATATAGCTGGAGTTACCCAGCCCTGAGTTTTATCATTGGGTTGTCATCTAGGGCTGGAGCGCATTTTTCTCGTAACTTGTAGTATTTGCAAAAAAAATTTGGAAAATGTTCAATTTTGTCCCCGTTACACACTAATTGCAACTGCAACTCACCCCAAACTTGCCTGGAATAACCATTACACAGGTCCTTGAAGTAAAAAACGATCCACGATGAAGATTCAGCCTACAATTGCAGTGAAAACAGGAGGAATAACCGCTAACTTGACAACCTTGCTGGGTTGGCCAGGACCGCTATTGGTTTGTGCAAAAAAAAAATGGTGTACAATGAATGGCGGTCGATTAACAGGCACAGAGAGCGATCGCTGTCAACTACTCGTTTTGCCGGCTGCGCGGGCTGTTGGCGCATGACGTCACGCGGAAGCGTAACACCCGATGACTGTTTCATGCACTATTGGTTGCGGTTCCAGTACCAAAGCTGTGATGCGAGTGGTAAACCTTATACTGGTGCATGAAACAGTCATCGGGTGTTACGCTTCCGCGTGACGTCATGCGCCAACAGCCCGCGCAGCCGGCAAAACGAGTAGTTGACAGCGATCGCTCTCTGTGCCTGTTAATCGACCGCCATTCATTGTACACCATTTTTTTTTTGCACAAACCAATAGCGGTCCTGGCCAACCCAGCAAGGTTGTCAAGTTAGCGGTTATTCCTCCTGTTTTCACTGCAATTGTAGGCTGAATCTTCATCGTGGATCGTTTTTTACTTCAAGGACCTGTGTAATGGTTATTCCAGGCAAGTTTGGGGTGAGTTGCAGTTGCAATTAGTGTGTAACGGGGACAAAATTGAACATTTTCCAAATTTTTTTTGCAAATACTACAAGTTACGAGAAAAATGCGCTCCAGCCCTAGATGACAACCCAATGATAAAACTCAGGGCTGGGTAACTCCAGCTAACTACTATAGTAGCTTGAGTAACTCCAGCTACTACTAATAATATTAGTAGTAGCTGGAGTTACTCAAGCTACTATAGTAGTAAAATTAATACCCTGGACCTCCGTTGTAACGCAGTGATGACGTCGTCCAACCTGGGCTAACACCAACATTAACATCGAACATGGTGATAAATATAGCGTCCATGGAAACATAAAAAACCACAGGCCTAGCCTACAAAAAATACACATTACAATGTATACAAATGTTCAAATTTTTGCTTATATTTCAAATCTAAGTTCACGAATACACTCACAAGTTTTGACGCAATTCACTCATCCAAAAGTTATCTTAAAATGAAACTTAAAAACATGCTTGAAGGGTGCAAGTTCACGGCCAATGTCGACATGGAATTCCCCAATTTTGTTGAGATTTCGCAAAACAGTCGTCTTTCTGCGAGGTCGTGTCCCTGGAATCAACTCGAATAAATGACATCCTAAAAATGAAGACGTCATTGGATCCTGACTATATAGACTAGAAAACTCTAGAGCTAGATGCTCTGGAGGGCGCTGTAACAAGTTGAACTTGTGAAATTTCCCTTCCGCCATGTCCGTGAAGAATTCATGACGCTTTCTTCACTTCGTCCTACACTTTTTGACGGTAGATTCAAGAACACCCTTGGTTGACACGGACAAACTTGATTACGTTTGTTTATTAAATGACTAGGTAAGTTTCTATTTATAATCTAAGCCCTCTCAACGATGGATAACCGTCCAGTCAAGGGCAAGACGAAACATCTGAACTGGCGATTGTTTTGGCAAAGGGGAAGTCCCTCCCCTAATTTAAGTAAAAATATAAAAGCATGAAACTGAAAGTAACCCCTTTTTTGGAAAGAATGTTGCATCCTGTCCTGACGCCACTTTTTCGTCATAATATTTATATTATCACAATGAAGGTTAGTAATTGCAAAAATGTTGAAAAGACATGAATCTAGCTGGGACTGGGACAGTCATGACAGTGGGAGTGGGAATGAGAAACATTTCAAATTTTGTTACAAAATAGTTAGAACATTTTTTCTTGACTCTCCATAGACTTTGTACAAAACTAATGAAGTGGCGCCTGGATTCTACATTCTTTCCCTTTCTTCTTCCGCTCAATTTTGAAACTTCTTACAGAATGTGTATTATTTTAGCTTGAAATTGAATAACTCTCGTCCGAGTAGGCCTAACTAGGACTCTACAAATCGCCTTTTTTAACATTTGGACATGGTCGGGCGATAGTAGGGTCCGAGAATCATAGCCGTATCGCGTTTACCAATAATTTCTTTTTGCCATTTTCACTCTTACCCCCAATCAAAATCTTCAAATTTCACCCCTAAAACAGTCCTCAAGCTGCCTGATGTACCCTGCAGGCTTCAGTGGGAACTGGAAATACAAATGGTGGTGTTTTACGTTTGCATACCTTGGGAAGAAAAGAGAAATTTCACCTTCAATTTGGGAAACATCGATCCTCGTCGCACACGCCGTGTTTGAGGCTGCCATTTTGAATTCAGGAAAAATTGACTTGTGCATGGCTTCTGGCTACACTGTTTTCTGGCTAGCATCAGATGAACCAATCACAAGGCACTTTGATTGGTCACCAGCATGGAGATGCTCAATCGAGACGCCATGTGATTGGCCCATTGAGGCGACCAATCGAGGTGACCAATCGAAGCGCCCTGTGATTGGTCTGTCTGATGCCAGCCATGAGCTAGTCTGGTTCCCTGTTCCCATTGTCCTTCTGACTCCAATATTTTTAGGGGGCCCATTTTGAAAAAATAGCCCGGTCGGGCAGCCATTTTGGAGGGGGGGGGGGGGAAAGGGCCTCCTACAGTCCTTCCTTTTTTTCAAAAAGGCAGGACACTAAAAATGTTAGTTTTTTGTATTTGGTCTACCGTCTAAGGTTTCACTCCTGTTTATCCCAGCAAAGCAAAGGCATTGCCCTCAGAGATGCTTGCTATGGATAAGGTCTATAAGAAAGACAGAAAAGAGAAAGCAGGGGTAAAGAGAAGAGTGGCAACAGTATCATCATGAGTCCTCCCCCAACTCAGCCTCTAGCTCCCCTTGTTTCAGATTCACAATGGCTGGTCAGCTTTAGTCCTAGTTCTGCCAGTGGGCAAGACTTACATGCAGACTTTAAAAGGGAAATAGTTTCCCTAACAAATAAGAAAGACTTTAGGCCCTAATATACAACATTGTTACAATAACATTTTAAGAAAACGTGAATTTTCTTTTTCTCATGCAGATATCCAAAGCAGCATGTCTATGTCAGCGAAGTATGCGCAAGTGCTTGATGAATGTCGCGTCACATTAGTGAAAGACTTGGAACCCAATGATGTCGTGGACTATCTCATCCAGGACGGGGTCTTCACCACCGATGACCTGGATAAAGTAAATTCCAAGAATATGCGAAAGGACAAAGTGCGCCTGATCTTGGAGATAATACCCAGACGAAGCGACAGGGCCTTCAATGCCTTGGTGAAAGCCCTACAAGACCTTGATTCGGGGCACCATCATCTGTACGACTTATTAGTGGGGAAACTTGAGGAGGTTGAACGGTCAGGGGTTCCGATGCAATATGAGCAACAACAGCAAGAGCAAGACGCAGCGGGGTACCTGATGTCAAGGGAACCCATCACGTGCACGGAACCAAATCCTGGTGATTCTGCAGGTAATGACGATACAACATAAGTGTGAAACCCAGCAGTTTCACCTGTCTTTGTTTAAGACTAATCCAGGGCTTGTTTTCCCCTTAATACAGTGTACGTAAAAAAAAAAGGTGGGGTTTCCTGTAACATCGCTGAAAAACTGAAGGGTCGGTATTTCTTCCTTTTTTTTGGAAAACTGTTTTTGAATGTGGTATGTACATGTACATTATGCCAGTCTTTGCATACATGCATTTCCATTGAGGTACGGTATGTTTTGTATTGTTAATACATAATAAAAGATTATGCCCTAAGAAGGACTTTTTTATACTAGCATACAAACAGAGCGTCTCTCTCTTCTCTGTGTATGTAGTTAATTTTCCATTCATAAATACCGGTACCTAAGACAGTTTAGCGGTGTCACATGAAATTTGGACTCCTATGAAATCCAGTTGCTTTTACCGTTTTATCGGTTGAAGGTTCACAATTCTCAAGAAGGCATGCGCAGTACTACCAATGAGTCAGTATTTTGTTGTCCTAAATTTACAATACACCGGCACAGCTGCGTCACTGAATTAAAATAACAAAAGATGCCCTCGAAGATGGCTGCTACTCATACTGTAAGGTCTATTTGTTAGGAGGGGGGATATCAAATTTGTAGAAGAGTATTGACAGTATTCCTTCTGGATTTGTTCACCAGATGCTAACAAGACTTGTTCAATGCCTCACCAGCATGACCAGTCACAGAGATCCGGCTACACATACTGTAAGGTCTATTTGTTAGGGGGAGATATCAAATTTGTAGAGTATTGACAGTATTCCAACTGCATTTGTTCACCAGATGCTCGCAAGGCTTGTTCACAGCCTCACCAGCCACAGAGATCCGGCTACGACTACCCTGAACACATGCACAATGAGCCGAAGAGCCCCAACATGGTCCCCAGCGACAGGCTGCTGAGTCTCCTGGCTGGCAAGCTCGGTGCAGAATGGGAGCAGCTGGCCGTCTTCCTGGGGCTGAGTGCCAGCGACATCTACAGATGCAAGATGGAGAACCAATACAACATGTGGGGGCAGAGCTACAATGCTCTGATCAGGTGGAGGAACAGAGAGTACAAAAATGCTACCATTCATAGACTGGTAAAAGGACTGAGAGAATGCAACATTGGACGGGAAAATTACGAATACCTCATGAATGCATAAACTCAGTTCATACACAGATCTATCATTTATTGTCATATCTTTAAAAATGTTGTGCTTCTCCTCTGCTAAACTTAACCAATTAGATTGGTTAAAATTTGACTCCGGAGAAGTACATAAACTATTTTACAGAGTTTGTTGACTAGTCATCTTGGTCGAGTCCCAGCCCGAATTACTATACAGGGTGGATAAAAAAAAAACGAAATCGAGATATTATTGCTAATTGGAACAGAAGTAGGGCACACGTGAATCAAAGGGAGATATCTTCTGTTAGGGTTGAATCTCCTCTTTAAAATGACACCCTGGTCATGTCATTGCATTCACGGTTGACTGAGCAGTGACCAATTTTACGAAAGGGTCTGTTTAGAGACTTGCGCCACTTTTCAATTGTGGTTTTTGTTGTGTCAATTGTCACAGAGTGAAAGGCTATGGTTGCCAATCAAGGCAGGTGGGAAAAAAAGAAGAGATTTCACCATGAAAAGTGGCGCAAGTCTCTAAAAAGACCCTTTCATAAAATTGGTCACTGCTCAGTCAATCGTGAATGTAATGACATGATCAGGGTGTCATTTTAGAGAGGAGATTCAACCCTAACAGAGGATATCTCACTTTGATTCACATGTACCCCAATTCTGTTCCAATTAGCAATAATATCTCGGTTTCGGTTTTTTTATCCACCCTGTATATCATTGACATTATGTGGGAAGAGGTGGAGGGTCTGCAGCAGCAGAATTTGTTTAATTTCTCGAAGTTCCAGTATTTAAAAATAATTAAGAATAATCTAGAAATGTATTTGTGGACAAACTCCAGCTGTTTTGGTTGTTTGAAGTGACTCTTTGACTTGGGTTGACATCGTGACGATGTCACTAAATGTCATGTTTAACACATGACACTATTACGCCAAGTTACAAGTTTATCAGACCTTTAGTTCTCCAGATATAGGCCTCAGGAAAATGCCCCTTTAATGTGACCTCACGCGACTTGTGGTGACATCATTCTGACGTCACTAAGATGTTCACCTGTAACATCTCTGTCTGTGCACAAACCAAGTTTCAACCCAATCGGACTTGTTCTTCAGAAGATAAAGGACCTCGAAAAATGCACCTTTAATGTGATGTCATGTGACACACGATGATGTCATCGCAATGATAATCCTCAGAGACCATTTGCGGGCAATGGTCTATGTGTGTACCAAGTTTGAAGTCAATCAGAATGGACCGATCCAGTAAGCACCGCCCCATGGTGTACTGACCAATCACAGCCGTGATTTATGTCCGACGTGCGTGCACAGAAGTCCGACATGCGTGCACGCGCGTATGATGCGCGCGGCAGGAAAATGCAGCGTGGCATTGGAGAGGAGCACGTGGTAATTTGCCCAGTGCGCAGTGGGCGGGGCTTACTGGATCGGTCCATTATGAAAGTGCCAGAGTGCACTGGTTGAAGAAAAACGTGTACAAACCCTATGGCAAAAACTGCACCTTTAATGTGACGTAACTTGACACCTGATGATGTCATTCTAACGAAAATCTGCGGGGACCATCTGTGGGGACTATCTGCGGGTGGTAGTCTAAGTATATGCCAAGTCTAAAGTCGATCACATTTACATACGAAATTGCCAAAGTGTACTGGCGGAAGAAAAAAACGTGTACATATTTGTAGAAAACCTATGGAGAGGAGTCTGAAAAAGGAGGAAAAATATTTAAATATTAATATTTATGTACCATATACATGAACACTGTGATGCCAGTTTCAGTTGACCTTTCACCAATAATTTTATAAGCTCTGTATAGCCAGTGCTGTCTAAGGGCCCGCCAAAAAGAGAAATCACAAGCTTACATGAAGTCAAATGGGACTCGAACCCAGGACCTCTACTTACAAGTGCAGAGGATTTTACAACTTGAATGACTACCGGGCTTGCCAGGGTCGGCTGGCTCTGGCTGGTTCAAGTCTGATATGGGCTCCGTGCGCCAACGAAAGAGGGCGCCCTTTTACCTAGCAACTACGTCCCATGAGTGGGACATTTAGCTGGTTGACGCGCACCGTTCCTTGTGTATGTGACGCACGTACACCAGGGGATTTGTACTATGTACACACAGTCATGACAGTGGTACGGCCGCGCGTTGCGGCAAAATTGCAGTCAGGCAATATGGCGTCGGTCTGTCACCCCCAACTGTACTTTCTTTGCCGGTGAGGGGGGTACTTGAGAACGGAGCGGATAGCAGCAGGTAGCACAGCTAGTCACTATTTCTTTGATGGAATCTTTCTCTGATAAAAAAAAATAGATGTAAATATGTGTATTAAATTGAATTGAATTGTAAAACAATTCAATTTGATAAAAAAAAAAAATTACATCAGTATAATATGGTACATCTTAATTGTCTTAATTGTCTTTTGAATGATTTCAAGCATGTACATGGAGATGTACACTTGTCATCAAAACTGATGTCGTTTTGTTCTCTAGGAATTTTTCTAGGAGAAATTTGCAAAGGAAAGATGTAGATGAGGCTCAGTTTATAGAACATGCCTCATACATTGTTTATGCTAATGTATTTGAATTGTTGAAATCATAGTTTCATAAGTAAATTGGACTTTTTTCATTGTCATGCTTTGTACATGTATATGCTCATATCGTTTATATTCAACTCTTTTGCATGCTGTGCATATTAAAAAATGAAAGGATTTATAATCTTATCACAAGAAACTTAAAAAAATTAAGTTTTATGTGAGTTTTCAGTTTGAGTGAAATATAATCACAGTGTTTGTTGATGGAGTACATGTAGATAGTTTGGTATAAAAAAATACTATTTTATGATTATTTGTTAGAAGAAAATGGCTGAGAATTGAACGATTGTAGGAAACGAGAGATTATTTGCCATTCATTTCTGACGGGCAGTTTTAGTATTCTTCTTTAAATGTACATTTTAGGTCACTTACAAATAATGGAGAAAAATTATTCTAATGAGTTCTAATTTGGCGAAATTATTTTGCCAAATGCTCGATAAAAAAAAAAAGTTTCATGAAATTATAAGAGTAATAAAGTTTTCCCGGCTATTTTAAAACGTTTATTATTTGAATTCACCGATTGTTATATTCAAATTCGTCCAGCAACATCGATTTAGTGCACTTCCAATGTTTAATTTCGTCTTTGTCAGACAATTTCAAACTCAGTTCAAGCAAATTTAAACAAGGAGCACACGTTTTCGTCCCGGAGTATTCGATTTCGTCTTGTCTACTCCAAACCTTATTAAATCAAATTTGTCTTTTTGACTAAAGACGAGTTCGATCTCTGAATACTGCCATTCGGCAACAGCTTAGACGAATTTGATTTGTAATGACGAATATTCTCGACCCGGTGACTAAAGAGGGTGACCAAACTTTGAAATTGAGTGGTAAATGACTAAATTGATTTGGTTAAAAGCAAGTGAAATGTTCTCGGACGAAATAGAACGTTAGAGTTGGTGAATTGGAATTTTTTTTTTTAAATAGCCGGGAAAACATATATTCAACCTTGTTTTCTAATTCTACAACCAATGTAAATACAATTATCGCACAGAGATGTACAAGTGAAACATCCCGTTGGAACAACAAGGAATAAATAAACGAGTCTAAATTTGTTTTTGTACATTTTATTCCAAGCAATTACTTTATTTTAGTGATAAATATATGTATGTTTAAACCTTGTATACTTTAAATTTAAAATATAGGGTTTCAAAATCCGGACAATCCGATAAAAGGTTTTACAATACTGGAATATCCAAAACGGCGGTGTTTTGTTTTTTGTTTAGAAATTGTTTTCAATGTGGAATCATAAAATATATCTGTGTATTGCCACTGTAAGGATGTTTCAAGGGCAAAATAGTCGTGCATTTTCCATATTCACACAAGCAAAACAGTGACGTAAATTTAATCAGCAGGAAAAGTTGCCAGATTTTTTGTAATAATCTGTGATCAGTGTTGCGTTAGTGATCAGTGCACGAACTGTAACAGAAATGACCCCACAGCAAAGCGCCCTCAAGTGTCTGAAAATGGAATCGACATTGTAGTATTAAAACAATCTAAACAATAAAGCGGGCCATCCAAAATTGTCTCAGAATTTTGAGCAAATATTGACACAAACTATTTTTCCGTGTAAAATTAATGTCATCGTTTTTACCACCTTCCAAATATTGATAAAAAAATATTGGTACCAGGTGTTAAAAGTACCCTGAAGTAGGCCTACATAAATAAGCGGATTTAGTCTGCCTTTGCGGTTTATGTTGATGACAGGATTATTTGCAGATATCCCCAAAGAACAAGAAACAAATCGCATAAAACCTTTCATGCGTCGCCTCTGCATTCGCCCGTAGAAGGCAATCGGTTTCCCCACTGACGACATCGCTATTAAGCCTTGAATCCCCAAAGAATTAGTGCGGAGTTCAGGTAAAGATAGATGTCAAAAACCGGTCGCTGCCCACACCACGGGGGAGAAAAGGAAGGGGAAACATGACACAAGGATGATAATTGCATCCAGAGAAGATGCATCGTGTTTGAAAATGTGAAGATGTGACCCGCATGCGCTCAACAAAAAGTCATAAAGGATCGAAGGGTCAAAGCCCTATAGCCGTTTACCTGTACCCTGATGTGCGCGCACCGCATGGGCGCCCATGCACCCTAAGCCGTTTAATTAATTATAATAATTATGGATTGAACTTGCAGCTGGTATAGGCCTATACGTGGTGTTGTTCGCGTACGGTTCGTGGGTGTGTGTGCACGGGGGCGACATCTCATTACTCGGTTTATGCATCAGCGGTGTGTACACTGAGAGTGTGAAATGTAAAATTGTTTCGGTCAACGGAACAAGGCAGTCGCACGGCAACACCGCACCGCTCGCTGTGCATACGGCGGGTTCATCAGTGCAGTATGCAGCTATATTTCCAATGTGACGTTTGTTAACGCAGGTACGTCTGCATGCGGAGATGTGTATGCGATTTGTTTTCACTGCGTGACATATTTTGTTTAAGGATGCTAAAAAGTCGGGGAATATTTCATGGCTGATGTGCATTCACAGCTGAAGGGACTAAGCTTAAAGTACCAAGGCGACGTTTGAGGACAAATTGAACTAGTTGTAAATTGGACGGGGACGACGATTGCGGTCGCAGTGAGGAAGTCTCGTCGGATAAACCCATCAGCTCGCTTTAAATGCCCTGTTTATGCCGGCGTGAGGGACGATTTCACGGGTGTGATTCAGCGCGAATGGGCTAACGGCTGAGCTTAATTGTCTAGCGGGTTTCGGTGGATTGTCTCGTTGGCGTGTGAACGAGGGAGGCAGGAGACGCTGTGAGTCGGGAAACCTGCGGCCGGGGCTAGCAAGATGACGAATCCGATCCTAGGAGGAGCACCGCCGCATAGGCGAATGTCCTCCGACTCGGACAGACAACTCGAAGGTATTTATATTTTCCCCTAAGTATGTTCCCCATTAAATGTTCCGCAATACCTATGTTCCCCAACACCTAATGTCCCCCAAAACCCTTAGGGTTAAGGTTAGGATTAGATGGTTATAGGGTTGGGGAACATAGGTATTGGGGAACATAGATATTGGGGAACATAGGTATGCATCCTACCCCCATAGAAAGGAAATGGCCCAGACCAGCAGCTCTGGGTGGTTACACCTCTATGTTCCGACACCCCTATGTTCCGACTGCACATATTCCTATTCCTAACCCTAACCCTAACCCTAACCCTAACCGGGAGTAACACAATCTAGGTTGTCGGAACATAGGGGTGTCGGAACATAGAGCAGTCACCCTCTGGGTTTATTTCAATTTTTTTCAAAGGTAAGTCCACTGTACGGGGACAGTTGGCCCTCACTGTTTTGAAGAAACTACGTATTCAAATATTTAATTGTGAATTCAAAGATCACAGCAGTGTTTACTCTTCGACATTGTTTCGTTAAAAGAACATTTTGTAGTCATTACCAATATGCCTATGTTGATAATATTGCTGTTGCATCACTACAGAAAAAAAGAGAGACAGCTAAACATCTTCTGGAAACATTTTGTGCCGTGTTTTAGAATATTGGACTTTCCTATCCCGGCAGTGTGATTAATTGGAAACTAAAAAAAACCCATTAATTTTTACGTGCAAAAACAACCCAACGGGGAACAAAGGAACCCCACGATAAAGAATTCGTTAAACAAAGATAATGTGGTCAATTTGGTATGTGTCTCGTGATGATATTGCACAGTTTGGTAAGGAGCCTTGAACATCTTCAAGAGATGGCGACAGCTGTATCACAGAAAGTGCATGACTTCATGAAACAATAAATGGCCTATCTATGTACGGTTCAGTCAAACCAAACACTGTAAGCACATCAGCAAACATTACAAGCAGTATCGTGTTTCATACCGTAACATTCTCGTGTTAATTCAAGACGCTATTTCGTTTTTGATTTCACCGGGGCACTGCCCACCTATAGTTGATGAGTCACTCATTGCGGTTGTCACATATTGTCACCACTCCAGCTTGCAGCTCGCTAGCATTTACAAATTATCGTGCTTAAAGGTGTACTGAGGTTGTCCCTAAAAAAAACAAACCCCAAAACAGTCGAATCGGGCATCACGCGGCATGTTTAAGAAAAGTGGGGGTAGTATTCAAAACGTCTAATGTATTGCTGAGTAGAATAATTGGTCTTCCAAATGTTTTAGTTGGTTTCATTCGGATATTTTGTTCAAAAGGTACAGGAATCACAAGTACTTGAAAAACCACGTAGGACATTGTTTTATTTATCAAGTTTACAGATCGAAGCCGGTAGAATAAGTCACACGTTACTCTTGAACAAAGGAAATAAATCCTCTGTGTGTTTCTTTAACAGTGCTTTTTCACTGTCGAGGAAGTGGCCCAAGACGATTTGTCAACCCTTGAGTTCGATGAACCAAAGTGTTTGTTCCACTGATGCACTTGGGCCACTTTTTATTTATCAAGTTACAGATCGAATTAGCTGGGAGAATAAATCACACGTTACTCTTGAACAAAGGAAATATATCCTTTGCGTGTTTCTCTAACTGCGCTTTCTCACTTTCGATGAAGTGGCCCAAGACGATTTCAACCCTTGAATTCGATGAACCAAAGCGTATGTTCCAATGCACTTGGGCTACTTTTATATTTATCAAGTTACAAAAACAAGTCACACCTTACTCTTGAACAAAGGAAATATATCCTTTGCGTGTTTCTCTAACTGCGCTTTCTCACTTTCAAGGAAAGTGGCCCAAGACGATTTTCATCCCTTAGGGTTCAATGCAGCATAGCGTTTGTTCCAGTGCATCAATTTGAATGAAATAAAGTTTGTATGGTAATTGGTTATCTGACTTTAAGAGGTAATTTGAAAATATTCCAAAACTCACATGTAATATACCTTTATTAATTGCTTTCGACTTTTAGGTTTTTTTGTGGGACAAAGATCATATGCAATAATTACCAAATGTGACCTACCAAATTATTATGAAAAGAAATGTACTTGGATTACAGATCGTATTTTTGCTAAACACCCTGTTAAATTATTCCGCCTACCTTACTGTCGCTTTGAAAAAATCAAGAAACGTTGGATATTTCTTGTCAGTCGACTGACTTTTTGAATAAAGAGTGCCACAGACGAAATCGTGTTTCGTGAACTAAACGTCTTGCATGGTTTGTCAACCAAAAAGTGTATCCACAGAGTTGAAAATTCTGAAAGGTTGGGCTTTGAACAATCCTTTTTTTCCCCTTTTTTTTAAACGAGCAAAATGCACGAAAAGAAAATTAATCCCATATGCCTTTAAAAATGAGGACGGCTAAATCTTTCTAAGACGATACGGTTTTTCCCATTCATAATGATGTTGAACTCTTAAAACACTTGATATTTTTTTCCTCTGCATTTCGTTGTTTTAAACCCTTCATGTTACGGAGGTATATTAATAAGCCTATGCTGCAAATTGTATAGTGTGATGCCTTGAATTCAAACGGTCAAACTCCAAACTATTTAATCATCAACTGATGGCATAAAACAAAGGCGAATGATTAAGTTAATGATTTAGAGAAATGTTTGGTACAGTTAGCACGGAACCAGGTAGTCATAAAAGCACTATTTAACTAGACTTGGTTTCATAAATTATTAAATCGTTTGAATATCTAATGATAATTGTTAAAGAAACATTTTGTCTCGTGAAATAATTCTCGATGAAGTCGTTCGCTATATAAAAACTGGCTACTTGGCTTTTAATTTTTTTATCGGGGATGGCGGGCGGGCTAGAAGAATATTCGAAATAAAAATATTAATGTTGACCTTATTCGATAAAGGTGAAATAATTCGATTTGCACCACATAAATCAAACTATGAATACGCATTCATTTTTCAGTACGCTTGATGGAACCGCGCCCCATAAGGACTTTGCTCCGTTTGAGGTGTTCCCTAAGCCAGCCTCTAGCAATGATTAGTATGCCGTCCTAAAAATATCATCACTCGAAAAACAGGTGGATTTCGACCATCGGAAATTCACAGCTTCAGCACTGCTGTTAATCACTGCCCGAGGCAGCACAAAATTGTGAAAAAACCCGCCAAAAAGAAAAGAAAAAGAAAAAGACGACTTCAGTAATTATTTTGAAACAGCTGTCACATGTCCGGTACGGTTTGAGACTCTTGCATCGACAAACGAGCTTTCTTTGGTTGTCAGTTATAAAACCGAGTGCTGGAAAACAGAAATTCGATCGGTTTTCTTGACATATTTCCAGTAGCACCTTGAGAACCGTTTCATATTTAGCGAAGTGACATGTATTCGATGGTTGGCTGTGATATCTCCCGGACAAAAAGTGCAGGCAAGGGTCATAATAGGTGTACAATTTCCCGAGTATAACGCACTGTCGATCGTCTCTCACCTAGCTTTCCCTTGTTGACTCCTTTTGCGTTTGCGAATTTCTATTGTGTTTATCTTTCCCTACAGTATTTGAAATACATCTACTTAGACTTTTAATTTTCCCCCAAAATATAAGTTGATTCTTTATTAAATTAATTTTATTACATGTGATTAAGAATAACTAACTAATCTTCACATGTTACAATTTTTAGCATAAGATTTCATGACGTCTTGTTTTTTGTTCACAGCATTGGAATTTTATTTCATCGTTTAGAGGTTTTGGGACGATATTTGTTTTGGGACGTCATTTTGACCCGGAAAAGTATCAGGCCCATTGAACTAGGTAGGAACTGAAAACCCAACCAACCTGTCGGCCTTGGTTGAACCCGGTCACAGAGGTATATACGCGGCGGGCGATGAACGTACAATTGCGGTAGAGGCTTTATTCATGAGTCGGCCATATTGAATTAAAGGCTAGGTAAAATATTCATGTTTGGAACTTGCGAATAGAAATGAAAGCAATGACATAAAGGAAATTACAAATTAACACAAGTCTGCTCTGATGAATAAATTAAACTTTGTGATTAAACACATCCTAATATGTTAAAGAAACATGTAAAATAAATTTGAAAGTGAGGCTTGGAACGCTACAATAGTCTGGCACCATCCCATTCAACAGTTTACAATTTAAAATATAAATGCAGGGAACACGATCACAAACTTGCTTTCTCCTGAATAATTAAGGTCTATAGTCGGACTTTCTTAGGCCTATGCCGCTGCAGGGTGTTACGTGTGGACAATTTGACTGCTGGAATCGATACCGTTAAAACATTGCATCGTTCCCCGTAGAACATATAACGACGGTCTACCGTTTCATTAGACCACCGTGTGAAAATGATTAAATGCCCGGGGAGCGGGCTTTTACCTCGATAGAGATACCTCCCAGACAAACACCAACATACGGACAAAATATTGTGCATTTCTTCATTTTTGTATAAACATAATGTGTTTTGCAAATCAATAATTCATTAATGAGATTCCAAGCACACTCTAAAAACTCCTGGATCAGATTGACCCAGAATTTGAATCTATAATCTGCTTAATTTCTTGCTCAATAATGACACATTTCCATGTCAAAATAACATTTTTGTATGTCATTTTGACCCAGAAAAGTGACATTTTTGACCCAGAAAAGGACCGAGCAGATATAGATTCAGAGTCTGGGTCAATCTGACCCAGAAGTTTTTAGAGTGCATGCAGGTGACGTATACGGTATTCATTATCTAAATTAATATGCATCACTTACTGCAGTACAACACTAGAATTGGTACAAATCCAATAGGGGAGTTAAGTCTGGTTGTAGTTCTGTTGTTTTTTTAAATATCGATATCTTGGTTAGATGGCACAGTCTTGGGAGGATTTTGTTCCCGAGTTGCGTGCTCGTATTGCACCGTGATGAAGTTATTCAAGTCCCGTGTAAGTACTCCTATACTTCAAGGCAATGTGTGCTGCTCCGCCTTGCTGTATCTCTTTCGCTTGAGCACTGTGACTATTCGATT